AGCAGCAGTAGGTGTCTGGAATGTGTCAGCAAACGGACTCAGACTGGACAACCAGAGCACGACCTCACCTACCACAGGCGCACAGTGAGCTCCTGTACTCAGCAAACTGTATGTACTCCCAGTAAGTTTCACATAACCTGTGACTGCGCAAACACACTCATGGCTGTGACAGTCTCATAGGGGTCTTGTATGAATCTATTTATTCCAACATGGAATAACACTTACAAGAATTCACAGCAAGCTTTTTTCTCAGCAATAAATGTTATAAGTACCAGAATGATGGGGCTTTAGTCGGGACAACATACAAATAAAATGGTTGCATTTTGCCATTAATTAAAAATTTCATATTGCTCATATCATTGTTCTGGCTTTAAATGCATACATATATTATTATTATTATTATTATTATTATTATTATAAACACATAATTTCCTAATTTTTAAATGATATCGAAGATTGAAGAAAACATACATACAGTGCCCATAGAAAATCATCATACCCTGTCACTGCATTATAAAGAGCAAACCATATTACTGGCATGAAACTAGCAAGTGTGTAAACCATGAAATTTTCAAAAATGACCAATAAAAGTATGTTACTGATACCCTGCTAGGTGATTTGCATGTTGATTCTAATCGGGATCAGTTATGTTTTATTTAGTTAGTTTGTATTGTGTAGTATTTACCATGGTATGTGTGTTTTCAAAACGCCACTTTTTTTCCACTTTGTGATACTTATTCAATTAATGTGTTGGTGGTACAGGCTATGTGTGAGTCAAACATTTTGGTGAATTACATTTGTTTGCGTTGTTTATACATTTAAAAGAAAGAGAAAACGTTGACTTAAGCGATGACTAGGCTTCATCTAAATGATACAAGATGCTGTCTGAAAAGGAGGGAAAAATACCTTGCAGCAGTTGTTTTCCATCCCATTAGATCAATTTATATATATTTTTAATTAAATAAAAATGTATTAGGTTTACCTTAGGTCAGACAAAAAAACATACATACTATTGATACATACAGATATACGCACTGATACAATTCACGAAAAAAGAAGCAATCAGGAAAACATAATTTTACACTAAATAAGTATATAAATAAAAAATAAAACAACACATTCACAAAGACATACAAATATGAGAACATAAAAATATTTATAATAAAAAACAAACATAATAATAAATAAATAAATAAATGAATAAATTATACAAAGAAAAGAAGAAAAAGGCAATTAAGATACAGATGCTTTCTTAAAAAAATTAGAAAAGGGCTGCAGACTTTCTGGAACAGTTCTGGCTTTTGTTTTTTTGCGAATCGAATCTTTTCTATCCAAAGAGTATGTGTAAGAAATCAAAAAGCCATTGCTGATAAGAAGGGGGAGTTGCTGACTTCTAATTCATAAGAAAAAGTTGTCTAGCCATTAAAGTTGCAAAGGCTACACTATCAGCCCGTAATGAATTTAATTCAACATATTCTGGCAGGATTTCAAACAGTGCTGTTGAAGGGTTTGGGTCTATTAATGGTGAAAAAACAGCAGATCGCATTTTCAAAATAATCAGTCCAGGAGGTTGTGCTGATCAACAGCAATATTAGTTCAAAGATGTTAAAAGCCAGCAAAATACATTTAAACTATCATTTCGAAGATAATTTTGCGTTCTAAGAAAAAGGTCTATAGGCACTGTATACCGCAGTATATCATGCTAGTTTAAATGCAGACAAGTGAATACTTATTTAAAAGTTATCACTTTAGCAAAGTTACTTTATAATTATTACTTTAGGTAACACTTTATTTTGATAGTCCATTTGAGTTTTAGACTGTCTGCTAAATATCAACAGTCTATAATCTGATGACAATTACTTGGCATGTAGATACAATGTAACTAAATTCAACAAAAGGACCAACAAAATAAAGCGTGACCTTATTTTTAATTATACTTCAATTATTTTACTCAAATATATAGTCATTAAAATGTTTTAAAAATGCAAGAAAAAAACTTTTTAAATTTGAATCCCAATTTATTTGAATAGGGCTTTGCAGTAGTATTTTATATCAACGTTGTAAATATGATAATTATAATTCATTATATATGATTATTATTGTGGTCAAAGACGAATAAAATCAAATGTGACTTTGCCCCTTTGTATCCTACCACCCAGCCGAATTTTACTTCAAGTAAACTGACATCATACAAATCAAAAACCCCATGTTTAATGTGAAAAGTCGACTGAAAGACCATGAAACACTATCACCAATATATGCTTTGGAGAGCAGTAAGAAAGCTGGCGCTGACTGCCAAAAGAACAGCGCTATAACTCAACTGGCACAGTTTCCAAGGCAACATCACAACAATAGCGGCTACCTCCAAAAAATATGAAATCTCGGTTGTTAAATAAGGCAAATGTGAGCCATTTAATGCACCTCTTAACAAACTTTAGCTGATACAAGGTGAGTCCTGCCAAAGAGAATCTATGTCTAGGTTCTAACAGGAATATATTTTAGAAACTTTGTACTGTAATGTTCTATGAATTTAATACAAACAAACAGTTAATAAAAACAAACAGATGTCTGTATGTGTGTGTGACTAGTCATTATGTGTTGTTATTTAAGGTTTATGGGTGGGTATGTTTTCCTAGAGGGGACTGGTGCTGGTGTGACTCATTATTAACAGGACACATCGACCCCTTAGTCAGAAGACTTACTCACAGCCTATTGACTAGTACACACCCGGTCTACATCTACACTTGCTCAGACACACCGGTGAACACATCACCCTTATCACCAGAACATTCATGGCTCATGATTTCAAGATCAGTCAAAGCTGTGGTCCTGAAGTTAAACGCACTCACACTGAAATATAAAGCACAATGGTAAAAGCTCATTCATTAAACTCTACACATTCATTTTCTCCATAGGGAAATTTTTAACAATAGCTGTTAAACCTTGAATTACAGAGTCGTTGGGAGCTTGTTTAGTTACATCCACATGAAATCAAAATTTACAATGTTTATTTTTATAGCACACATTGTAGTCTACAGGTGAACATTTAATCCTTGCAAGTAAATCGAGTTTTATTTTGGTATTAGATTGCTGTGAGTGAAAAATAAGGAACGCAAAAAATATATCCTGTCCCATACTCGATAGTCTATTTCAGTTGTAAAAATATCATCATAATAAGTCAGCAGCAACTTTTACTTCACGCACACGCAGACTTTAAAACAATCATGTTTGATAGTAGAATTGGGTTTTTTTCCACCTTTCGCATCCGAAAAAGTGATTTCAGAGAGTTTTTGACAGTTCAGAGCCCCGACACAAGCGAAAAGCTAAATACAGAATGCCGTCACTTGAGCTACATGTAAGTTTATGACAAACACAGTGCATAAAATAAGGACAGAATGTGGCAGACAGTTGAGAACCCGTGACTGGATTCAGTGACTGGCGCACCTCTGCCCTGCTGTTGTTTGGTGTGTGTTTGTGTGTGTCCATACATTTGACATGGACAATATAATAGAAAGCAAGGTTCGGTTTCTGTCTGTTGCTTTGACACGTCAACACGGCCGCCATCTATTATAATGTCTACAGGTACTACCAGTCTCTGTTCAAGATTTGTTTACATATGTAAATATGTAAAGTCACAAGCAATGTATCGAAATTTCACTGATTTACTGAAATAAACTTTGCATTTGAATAATCCAGCACAGCACTAATTCACTCTATGCTGAGATAAAGCTCATATATGGGTGAGTTTAAAAACCTTTCCCATACCCCATATTGCTTCCAATCATACTTGGGCAAAAAAACTACAAACAATACAATGTACAAAAATAAATTTTCCTATTTTATAAAAACTTGCCATAATAGCCATAAGGTGTAATAAAGTCCTAATAGTATTTATGACAAAATAATGAGAAATCTTCTATAAAACCTTCATATAGATACATTTCCCTGACAAATCACATCACCAGACTTGTTTATATCAGAGATCTTAAATTTGTGGTGGGAAAAAAAGTGCTTTTCATGTATGAATCAATATTTTAAAATAATAATTATAACATCAACCCAGGCTCATACTGATTAGGTATCCCTATAAACATTTCTGGAGAAAGCAAAATACATCCCAGGAGCTATTTATTTTGTTTTGCAGTTTTAATTTTCTCAAATCACCAGAGGCCGCTGTTTAGGCTTTTTCAGATCTCAAATTTCTCTCGCAAGTGCCATTCGCGCCTGTTATTCTTAAGTAAATCCACCAGAGGCTTCTGTCGACCGACCGACCAAACAACCGACGAACCAACCGATAACCCCACCCACCACCTTCCCTAAACACAACCAATAGTATTCTTTTCTACGTTTGACCAACGCTTACCCACTTCTCTAAACCCAACCCCAGTGTTTTAAAAAGCGAAAGAAAGACAAAAGAAAAAAGAAAGACAAAAGAAAGAAAAGACCCCTGATTTTTACCACGTTTTCAGATTTTTACCACAATCACACCCTGTTATTTACTTGTTAATTTAATTTTTTGGCTTTTGCTTTTGTCTTACCTGCTTTGAACCATTCTTCACCGGACACTAACCCCTTCTTCGTGTTTAACTCCGCTCTGCATCTCAAGTCCACCAACGTACGTTTTGAGTTACCAGACAAACTGGTATCAGCAGAAAACCCGTCCATATGCAAGGAAACGGTCAGCTGGTAAGCGTGAAAAGGAATGGCATTATAACGCCTCCTAGCGTTCATTTTAAGGGCAAAAATGCAGCCATACATAGTTCTGGCTGCAAAATTCCCGATCTTCGTATAAATGCATTTAAGGGCTACGTTTTCAGAATGAGCCTGTGTTGAATAAAATAGTAAGATCTGATAAGATTATTCTGGATCGCTGTTGGTCAGTCTTGTGTAAGAGGCGAGTTGACCCTCCACCAGTGCCATCAAACACTATGAAACAGAACCAAGTGCAAAAAAACGGCAAAATCCTGCTTAAAAGCATAGTTCAATTGTTTTATGCTTACATGTTATGCTTTTGCCAGGAGTGCTGGTGAGGTCCGGTTGGGACAGGCTGTTGTTGTTGTTGCCATTCTCCACGTCTCCTGTCTTTTCCATGGGTGGGGTGTTTGAGTTCTGTGCTGTCTGCTCACCGGTTTCATTCCCTTCTGAGGCCAAAAAACACAAACACGCAGGAGAGAGAAAGAAAATACAAGTTACACAAAGATTATACAAAGCTCTGCTTTCATAGCATTTCTAAAGCGCCTTGATTCAACAGCAGTACAATGTGGACGCTCGGTTTAGAAATGTGTTTATATTTGCACCAGCTATTTTGCTAGATCATCACTTTGCATGCGCACTAGTTTGGGTGCTGTTCTCACGTATCTGTAAAAGTGCATTCATGCGGTCAGCAGCATGTGTTTGTATGTGCGTGTTTTATAAGTCAGCGCTGGAGCCAAGTGGTCTTATTATGTGGCCTGGTAATTATACAGGGCTGTCTGAGCAGGCCAGAGCAGCGTGACATCAAAGAAGGTCAGGACTGGGTCTTAGCAAGTAGAAGATCTGTGTTTAGCTGAGCTGAGTGCAACTGAGCTCTGCTTCGTCTTGGCCTCTGGCCCATACCTACCCAAATGGAAGCCAGCTGGGCTTTACTGGCTGTCTGATAAACACACTGCATCTCCTGCGGAACATCAGTCCATTGCTCTGTTTATTTCCTTTAGTGACTCTCTGTCTTTCTGCCTTCTTTTGCTTCACTGGATATTGGCAGACTCCATTTTTTACTCTGTGTGTTTACGTTAAAGGATTTCTTAAACAATTAGTTTCTCTCTTGTTTGTTGACAAAATTGACTTTTGACAATTTTTGACAAAATTGATTTAATTTTTTTAAGTTACCTTACCATGAATCAACATGGCTGAGTAGCTGTACAATGAGAGACTACATGAGGCTCTTAGAAAGTTTGTGTAACAAAATATTATGAAGCAAAGAAAGGACATAATTTATCTAATCATTAAATTTTTTTAAAGGGGGAGCAGAGAGGTGTACTTTTCCAATTAAATAATGCTTTTGCACATTGTTTTTGAAACAAACAGTAGTGTAAAGTAAATAAACAATACTCAAACTACTGTAATTGACTGTAACTGTAGTTTTACTTTTTTAAATTGTAATTTACTTAGTTTTAAAAATGTGTACTTTTACTTTCCCTTGAGTACATTTTTAGTGCAGTATCAGTACTTTTACTCCACTTCTTTCCTTCAACCTGCAGTCACTACTTTGTTTTTTCTTGTCTATCGGGATTAGAAAAATCAGTCCTGTGATTCCTGTCCAATCAAATTGCACAGAAGGTAAATCGCATCATAATGAACTACCTCAAGACATGGGTGATTTATAATTGCAGAAAACTGTTTGGAAACACTAAAAGTCGAAGAGGTGCAAAATCTTTACACGCATTGACCCAGAGACTGTTTAGATGCATGTCAATGATGAGAAGATGACGGATGTTTACTGTATGATGACCAAAACTTTAATCTTTAAAATCTAAGTCTTTAATACCCATCAGGCACAAGACGTCTACATGATATCAGATTGACGTTGTACCGCAACGTCGAGGGGATGTTGCATTCAGTTTGGAAATAAAAAACGGGTTGACATCAAAACTCAAGGTCAGGTCGACGTCAATGTCCAACAACCAACCTAAAATTCACCAAATATCAACGTCTAATGATGTTAAAGCTTGACGCTGTGTGGACGTTACTACTATGACATCTATCAGACGTTGAATTATGGTCGTCATACCTGACAAAGAAAGATCAATATTTGACGTCAATATAATGTTGGTTTAGGATGTTGTCACATTTCCAAAAATTGCATTTAAATACATTAGCTTTCACAGCGTAATACTCACTAATCTTGAGTACTTTTAAAAGGGCTACTTTGAGTAATATTTACAACAGATACTTTTACTCTACTCGCACTACATTTTTAGGCAAGTAATGGTACTTTTACTCAAGTATGATTTTTAAGTACTCTTTCCACCACTGGAAACATATTATTTGACGTAAGAATGACAGAAAAAAAAGTCAAAAATAACGTATCTGTGTGTCAGGATCTTGACATGTCAGCATCAGACAGGTCTGCAGCTGACCAGTTGCAGGTCTCGAAATTGCGACCATTTTGGTCGCATATGCGCCCGAAAATTAATCTATGCGACCTCATAATATATTTGGGCGCATTAGTGCGACTGAAGATAATGGTTGTAGTGAGACCTGTTTAGATTTTTTGTAAAAACGTGCTGAATCGCTCTTTCCTGCCGCTATATTGGTTCATATTAGTTGTCATTCACTCAAGGTATTCCGCTGTCAGATGACAGGGAATAAGCTTTTATGACCACGGGAAATGCAAACGGCTGAAGTGTATAAGTTTAAAGCACGCATGTTTGCAAACCCCACCTAAAGTTGAGGCGCAGATGAAAGCGGTCATGACATGTCACGTGGTGAATAATGATCCGCCAGCTGAGATCAATCGAGTACGCGCTTCTTGGAGAAGGTGCCCGAATCTCGATGCGTTGCATTCACTGCGTGTTCAGCGCAAATGTCCGCTAAAAGTCAAATCTAATACTGTACATATCATCGCCAAAGAAGCTCGCCTTTACTAAGTTTACACTGAAACTGCGGCTCATAACAAAGACCGGTACTGCGCCGATGGTCAGCGCAAGAATCCTGCTCTGCCTGCTCATAAATTGGGTCGGCTGACTCGCCAGCTTTTCCACGAACACAGAAAAATGAAGATCATCTCAGACTGAACCTTTAAATTGACACAAACTGAAACCAAAACTTTTAAAGAGTGATAGAAGTGAGACTTTACTTACTTTCTTTTGTCTATTCTTTTTTAAGGTGTATATATATTTTTTTATTTACTGATGACTGCTTTGCAGCTTTCTTCATTGAATTGAATGATTTATTATAATCTTTTGTTTGTTTTGTAGCAGAAATATTATTTATTAAATTGACATGCATATAAAAACAGCAGTTCAAAATAAATATTTCTTACTGCAATGCTTCATTTTTGTTTTATGCAAACTATACAATTATTTTTCATAAAGTAACAGACTTTTTATAGCAGATAACCTACATTCATGCACATTCAAGGCAGTATCATAATGAGAAATGGAATTCATTGTTACTATTATTGTCATTTTTTTATCATCATTAATATTCTATGGCCTAATTATTAGACATTAATTTTGGAATTATTGCACACAAATATCAATGTCTTCGCAGCATTAGTTAGATAGTTGTTTCTGTTTTTTGTCAGTCCTATTAATGTTGTTTTAAAATACAATAAATCCCTTAAAAAACAATTTGCAGCGGTGCTCATTCATTTTTGGTGGGTGCTCCTAAATTTTTTCTGGTGCTCCTAAAAATTTTTTGGTGCTCCTAAATATTTGAAGTTGGGAGCACCGGTGCTACCAAGTAAAAAAGTTAATTTCGAGCCCTGAGTTGCTTTTATCCATTTTCTCTAATAAATTTTTCACCAACTAGCAAGCAAAAGGTGACTCTTGAGGGGCTTCCATCCCCCATTTCCTCAACCAAAACTCCCAACAACACACAAATTGTCAGGGCCTGAGCTTATAGCTCACTGAAAATGTCAACATTCTCTAGTCCTCAACCTCAATGACAAATAAAAATACAACTTGTTTGTAACACTTCATGCCAGCAGCACAAATATCCCCTGACACTTTGCCTGCTGAGGTCTAAAAGCATCCTGTGGTCCTTTTCAGACCCCAGGGCCCTATATATCCTGCATGTGCCTGTGTAGTAATGAAGGAGCTGGAATTGGTAAGTTCACATCTGGAAGCAGCTGCTGACAGCGCACAAAAAGTCACAATAACAGCAGCTAAAGTCACAAAAAATGAACCAAAATAGAGAATGTGTGAGCTGAAAAGGAAGTATTTAAATATAAATATTTATTTATCAAATCACATAACTAATCTTCACTAAGGATGGATTCCATCCAAGGTTTAAAAAACGTAAGATTCATAGCATTATGGCAGACATCAGGACTATCTGCCTAATACTGTTCTGCACATGCTGCATAAACAACAACATAGACCCCTTGAGGCAAGGAGTCTTGTGGTACCACACACAAAGATGTTAACAGCAGTTCCTTCAATTCCTGTAGATTAGAAGGTGATGCTGCTGTAGAGCAAGCATCCCAAAGATGTTCAAATGGAGTGTCAACATGCTCTTCAGAACCATTTGTATGTGTGTAGTTTGGTCAGTTCCTCCAGGGAACACCAGCGTTTAAAAGAGGTGAACTTGGTCAGCAATGTTTAGATAGTACAGGTTAACTTAATGTCCATTTGAACAGCAATACATGTTTTCAAAGAGAATATGGTCCATTTTATCTTGACTTGGACCAGATAGGATAAGCAATACAGTAGTACTGTATTTGCTTGGGGCATTACTACCCTCAAGCATTGCAAGTCATCTGTATTTCTTTTTTTCTGTCCTCCTTGAACAACGTTTTCTCATTTGAACAAAATTTTTTGAAAAATTATCACCATTACAGACCAGGAGCAGCACACAGGACTTGCCATTTAGGAGACGCTCTGACAGGCATGTTATGACAAGAAAGCTTGGTCAAAGTCACTCAGATCTTTATCCTGGCCCATTTCTTCTGCATCCAACACAATTATTAAACTGATAGTTTGCTTATACTATCTATTGAGAACGTATTGTAATTAAAACATGATACAAAATTACTAGACATATGCAGATATTCAATAATTCATTATATTGTGATAATAAACATAAGGGCTGTACGATTAATCGAAACTGAATCACAATCGCAATTTCAAACATTGTGATTAGCTAATCGCAAGAGGATGTGACATAATATATTTATATGTATTATTTAATTTCCCCTGCTCAAAGCAAATGCATGACTGCCGTCTTTGTGTGATAGTCTAACTAGCCAATTAAGTAAGCACACTTTCGTTCTGTTTAATCAAAATTGCGCAACCGAACTATGCGAGCGCCCACAATGGAAAAACAAACAAACTAATGGCGTCTGCTGCTTCAGAAGCATTAACAGATATCAAAGAAAAACAGGACATCAGTAATATGGGAATATTTTGGTTTCAAAGTCACAGACACCAAACAAAAACAC